CAGGGTGGGGATATAACACATGGAGAGAGGGAGATAAAGGATAGATACACCACAGAGCAGGCAGGCAGGTACTGCACGGAGAAGGATGGATACAGGGCTGGATCGATTTCTCTCTAAAGAAAATATTTGGCTGACGTCATCTCCCTCTGTGCGAGACAGAGACTGTCAGATTCAGAGACAGGCAGAGACCGAGGGACCGAGAGAGAAGAACTTTACCAAAGTAGGAGTCTTACACTGGCTGCATTGGGAAAGGCCGATCCAGCTGCCTGGAATTCTTCCTTTCTGTCCCCGGCCGTGACTCCTGTGTAGCACCATCCAGCTTTCTTATCCCAAACGGCCCATCGCCCAGGAGAGGTGCACAGTCTGGGCTCTTGGTATCCAACCCGGAGACCTAATCCGCTCCGAAGCTAGGCAGGGCTGCCTGCAGGGTATCACCCCACACTGCCGCTGAGCCCCACAGCTTCCAGCCTCCTTATGGCTCTCCATGGTCGTTAAATCCCCTTCGGGACCAGGGCCCTGAATCCCCACCAGGCTCCCAGACTGAGACCGCAACAGAGTCGCCAATTAATGGAGATTTTGCATCATTTGAGAGAACGCTCATAGACCCCCGGGACCAAGCCCTCCGTGGGCATCAGTAAGTGTAGTGCCATGGAACTGAAAAGGCCAGATCCCCAGCTCCACCAGGGTCCAGATTCTGCTCTCTCTCCCCCTGACCTGACTCCTGGGGAACTCCATTGGATTCCCTGGGGCTGTTTCCTCTCTCAGCCACACACCCTGGTGTAAATCAGGAGTAATGCCATTGGACTGAAGGGAGCTGCGTAGATTTCTACCAGCTGAGAATCTAACCCAGACATTGTGAGGGGGGAGGGGATGTTCATGTTCGTGTAGGCTTTCCTGCGATGTGACACAAGGCAGAGAATTCCCCCCAGGATGTGAAATATGCGTAAACTGGGCCAGAGGTTCATCTGGAGGCTTCTGAAGCCAACAGAGCTTTGTCCTTGGTTTGTATCCCCTGCTGTTCCCCTGCCCCCTTCTCTGTGTCTCTGTGTGCACAAGATTGTATCCATGCACTGGTGAAATTCACCACTGAAATTCATAGATAGCCACATACTGTGTGAATACAACCCTGTGCAGACAGAGGGCAGCATATGTCCTGTGCACCAGTTCTCATCACTTTTTGCAGTACAGTAGAGACTCCAAGAAGAGCATTGAGTTATTTCTGGCAGCACAGTACAGCAGCCCCCAACTCCAGCAAGATCCTGGTACTGTTGTTCTGGGTGCAGCTCAGACACAGAGTGAGGCAGACCCTGCCTTTCAGGTTAATCTAAATTAACCCAAGCATAGGAAGGATTTTCTATGCCATCCCTCCTCTTCTCATTGGGTTGAATGTCACTCTGCATCTTTCTGGGCCTCGCGCGTGTTCTCTTACCCTCTGTAACGAGGCTGGTTCTGGCGGGACCGCACGGAGAGTGCCAATTCAGGACAAACTGCTTCAAGCAGGGCAGTTACAGCCCAAGACTGGGGTTTTTCCACCTCTAAGGCAAACCAAACCAGACAGACAGAGCAGACTTTGGTCTCACCCCACTGGCTAACCACAAGTCACACAAGCAATTCCCTTCGACACTCCCGTTTCCCAGTATCACCACCAGTGCCACTTGTTATGGGGACAGATGGTTAGGAAAACCAATACCCCAGTAAAAGAAAAAAGGTTCTCTCAATCCCAAAGGACCAAGCCCCAGACCCAGGTCAATATACAAGTTAGATCTTACCCACAAATCACGCTGTTGCCAATCCTTTAGAATCTAAAATCTAAAGGTTTATCCATAAAAGGAAAAAGATAGAGATGAGAGCTAGAATGGGTTAAATGGAATCAATTACATACAGTCATGGCAAAGTTCTTGGTTCAGGCTTGTCGCAGTGGTGGAATAGGCTGCAGGTTCAGATCAAGTCTCTTGAGAACATCCCCAGCTGGGATGGGTCTTTCAGTCCTTGGTTCAAAACTTCAGGGTAGCAAAGTCCCTCCAGAGGTAGGAAGCAGGACTGAAGACAAGATGGAGGAGCTGCAGCAGCTTTTTATATTCTCTTGCCGTGTGGTCTTTCTTCTTTTGTCCCAAGGACAAGCTGCCCATCACATGGCCTGGAAAACCCTCAGAGTTCTGTCCATAGACATGTCCCTGCATGCCTTGCTGAGTCGCAAGGCATATTTGCATTCTCTCAATGGGTCAGTTGAATAGCTGATGGTCCTTAATGGGCCATCCAGCAGGCTAGGCAGAGCTGACGTCACATTGTCTGGGGTGTCCCCCAGAAGCACAGCACAAGTTTGAAATACAGACAGTACAGAGCCAATACTTACAACTTTAAATAGAAAAATGATACATGCATACAGATAGCATAATCATAACGACCAAACCATAACCTTGTCTTAGACACCTTATTTGACCCCCTTTATGCAAGATTTGGTGCCACTACAGGACCTTGGTTGCAACAATGTTCTATACGGTCCCAGTTCAAGTCAATAACATCAGACCCTCCCCTTTGCATAGTCCGGGTTCAGAGGAAGGGCCTTTAGAGGATTACGGCTGATTTAACTGAACCAAAGCTGCTCCTTCACTAGCCAGGTAAATGGAATAGACACAAGCCTCGTCTTGTACCTCTACTGTGCATCTACACTAAGGGGCTGGTGGGGGTTGGCTACGTCGCTGGGAAGCTCTGTAGCATGGACAAATCCACAGACCCCTGCACAGAGAGGGATGTGAGAGAGACAGGGCTGGATTAGGGGGGTTCCAGCAATTACCTCCTCCATCCATTTGCTGTAGCCCAGCACTGCAGTTTTAATAAGGCCTCTTGTGATTCCTCTAGTCGCGATCATTTCCTGCTCCACCTCGGGTGGGCGTCTTACTTGGGAGCCAGGATGAAGAGGCAGAAGGCAGAGGGTATAATTATTCTCTGTAGAAGTGTTATCCCCAGCCCAGTCAGAGCATCCCACAGGGTGCAATGGCCCCTGGGATCAATTAAAATGTCAACATTTCTAATGAGGCCCCAGGCTGGGCCTTCTCACTGCGCTGGGAGCCAGGCTCAGAATTTACTCTTGACTGCATCAGTTGGGTTCTGTGTGTCTTTGCCACGTATCCCGGAGCTGGATCTGCATTTGACTATTTTAATTTCTATTATCACTAGTATTATCATGGGTATTATGGTAGGACCTACATTTTGGAACTGAGGCGTAGGCTGCTTTGTGCCACACCCAGCAAAGACAGAAAGAAACAGTCCCCAACTGAATGTGATACACATTTCATCGCTGCGAGTGACCAACGATTTAATTTTTCATGTATAACAGATGGGGAAACTGAGGCACGAAGAGATTTAGTGAATTACTTAAGGTCAAATACAGAGTCTACTATAGAGCCTGTACTGGAACGCAGATCTCCTGTGTCCCAGGCCTTTGTCTTGTCTACAAGATAATGGTTGGCAAATAATTCCCATGGACTCTTTAAATGTAAGTCTGTTGAATTGATACAGTTCTCAGTTACAAAATATTATAGCCACCTGCTTTCCCTGCTTCTCCCTCTACGGCCATCCAGTTTTCGACCAGAACGCCCAGTCGAAAAGCGGTCCTGGCAGTTCCCGTGAGCACCCAGGGGGCTCCGGGTGAAGGCAGGCTCCCTGCTTGCCCGAGCTCTGCATGGCTGCTGGAAATGGCCACCAGGTCCTTGTGTAAGCTCCATGCACAGGGAAGCTCCATGCACAGCCCCCGCCCCTAGTGCCAGTTCCACAGCTCCCATTGGCCATGAACTGCAACCAATGGGAGCTGCAGGGGCAGTGCCTTTGGGTGTGAGGGCAGCACGCAGAGCCTCCCTCGCTGTCCATGCACCTAGGGCCTGTGTCTTCCTCCTGGGATCCGTGGCAAGCGCTGCCGGGACCCCACACCCCAAACCCATCCTGCACCCCAACTTCCTGCCCCAAACTCCTCATCCCCAACTCCACCCCAGATCCCAGACACCCAGCCAGAGCCCTCACTCCCCCACACACACTCCAACCCCCTGTCCAAGCCTGGAGACCCCTCCTGCACCCCAAACCCCGCATCTCTGGTCCCACCTGAGTGTCCACACCCCCAGAGAGAGTCCTCATCCCCTGTCAAGTTTCCTCCCCCACTCTGAACTCTAGGGTACAGATGTGAGGACCTGCATGAAAGACCCCCTAAGCTTATTCTTACCAGCTAGGTTAAAAACTTCCCCAAGGTACAAACTTTGCCTTGTCCTTGAACCGTATGCTGCCACCACCAAGCGTGTTAACAAAGAACAGGGAAAGAGCCCACTTGGAGATGTCTTCCCCCAAAATATCCCCCCCAAGCCCTACAGCCTTTCAGAGCTGTGACTCTGAAAATGATTTGGGGGTCATGCTGGAGAATCAGCTGAACGTGAGCTCACAGTGCAACGTTGGGGCCAGAAGAGCTAATGAGATCCTGGGATGCATAAAGGAGGAATCTCGAGTACGAGCAGAGAGGTGATTTTAGCTCCCTGTTTGGCACTGGTGTGACCGCTGATGCAATATTGTGTTCCATTCTGCTGTTCACAATTCCAGATGGGTGCTGATAAATTGGAGAGGGTTCAGAAAAGAACCATGAGAATAAGTGAAGGAGTAGAAAACCTGCCTGATAATGATAGACTTAAAGAGTTTGAGCTCTGTAGAGCTGTGTAATAAGGCCAAGATTTTGTAAGTCCTCTAGAAAATTTAGATCTCCAATTCTTATTAATTTGAATATACGCTGAGTGTGCCTGTCCCTCAGGCAGCTTGGAAAAGATCAGCCTTACAGCATGTCAAAGACAGCTCAGTATATTAGGAGCATTTCTATGACTGGTAGAGATCCACATAGATAGATGGGGCTGTGTGGGGTTAGGGAGAGACAGAGACGTTCACAAGAGCCACAGAGCTGCCATGGAGATGTATTTGTCGATGTATTTCCAAGCAGACCCACATGCTACTCCTGCAGCTGCCGCATATCAACATGCAGGCGTTTGACCCCCTCTCAGTTTTCTCAGAGCTTCTTTCACCTCCTTGTTCGTCAGCGTGTAGATGGCCGGGTTCAGCATGGGCGTGACCACGTTTCCGAAGATCTGCACAGGGGTCACCAGCACTTTGCTCAGCTGGGGCTGCGTGTAGACCAGGGCGCAGGGCCCGAAGAACAGTGTCACCACCGCCAGATGCGAGGCGCAAGTGGAGGCTGCTTTGCGCCGCCCTTCGCCTGAGTTTATCTTCAGGACAGAATAGACGATCCTGACGTAGGACGCGAGGATGAGGAGGAAGCAGGTCGTGGGCACCATGCCAGTGTTGGTGAAGGTCACAGTCTCAATGATGTATGTGTCTGCACAGGCCAGCTGGACCACCGGGAAGATGTCGCAGAAGAAATAGTCCACCACATTGGACCCACAGTAGGGCAGCGTGAAGGTCAGGCTGGTGAGGATGGTGGCGTGGAAGGAGCTGGTGATCCAGGTGCTGGCGGCCAGGAGGGCACACACCCTCCGGTTCATGATGAGCAGGTAGCGCAGGGGGTGGCAGATGGCCACGTACCGGTTGTAGGCCATGACGGTGTAGAGCAGGCACTCGGTGCTGCCCAGGAAGTGGTAGAAGAAGACCTGGGACATGCACCTGCCCAGAGAGATGACCCTGCTCCGAACCCAGAGGTTGGCCAGGAATTTAGGGGTGCTGATGGAGGAAAAACCGATGTCCAGCACGGAGAGGTTGCAGAGGAAGAAATACATGGGGGTGTGCAGACAGGGGTCAGCGAGGATGGCTAATAAGATGAGCAGGTTGCCCAGCAGAGTGCAGAGGTAGAATGCTAAGAAGGTGATGAAGAGGATGGTCTGGAGGCCGCTGGCATTGGGGATCCCTAAGAGGATGAAATGAGTCACCACAGTGTGGTTGACCCGCCCCACATAGGACTCATTCCTGGGGTGGGGGAGAGAAATAATGCCTGTTTACTGAAACCAAAAGACCTGTTATCCTAGAGCTGCAATGCTCACCCTTCCTTCCACAGCCCACGTGACTCACAGTCATTAGGAGTGGTGTATATTTCTATCATTGTAATGCCAGTTGGGGTCAGGGTCTCACTGTGCTGGTGCTGAACATGGAAAGAGAAAATGTCTGGCTTGAAGATCCTACAGTCCAGAGATGAACAGACAAAGGGGACATTCTATTCTATTCTAACCAATTTATTTGAGCATAAGCTTTCGTGAGCTACAGCTCACTTCATTGGATGCATACTGTGGAAACTGCAGAAGACATTATATACACACAAAGCATGAAAAAATACCTCCTCCCACCCCACTCTCCTGCTGGTAATTGCTTATCTAAAGTGATCACTCTCCTTACAATGTGTATGATAATCAAGGTGGGCCATTTCCAGCACAAATCCAGGGTTTAACAAGAACGTCTTTGGGGGGGGGGTAGGAAAAAACAAGGGGAAATAGGTTACCTTGCATAATGACTTAGCCACTCCCAGTCTCTATTCAAGCCTAAGTTAATTGTATCAAATTTGCAAATGAATTCCAATTCAACAGTTTCTCGCTAGAGTCTGGATTTGAAGTTTTTTTGTTTTAATATAGCAACTTTCATGTCTGTAATTGCGTGACCAGAGAGATTGAAGTGTTCTCCAACTGGTTTATGAATGTTATAATTCTTGACATCTGATTTGTGTCCATTTATTCTTTTACGTAGAGACTGTCCAGTTTGACCAATGTATGTGGCAGAGGGGCATTGCTGGCACATGATGGCATAGATCACATTGGTGGATGTGCAGGTGAACGAGCCTCTGATAGTGTGGCTGATGTTATTAGGCCCTGTGATGGTGTCCCCTGAATAGATATGTGGGCACAGTTGGCAACGGGCTTTGTTGCAAGGATAGGTTCCTGGGTTAGTGGTTCTGTTGTGTGGTATGTGGTTGCTGGTGAGTATTTGCTTCAGGTTGGGGGGCTGTCTGTAGGCAAGGACTGGCCTGTCTCCCAAGATTTGTGAGAGTGATGGGTCGTCCTTCAGGACAGGTTGTAGATCCTTAATAATGTGTTGGAGAGGTTTTAGTTGGGGGCTGAAGGTGATGGCTAGTGGCGTTCTGTTATTTTCTTTGTTGGGCCTGTCCTGTAGTAGGGGACTTCTGGGAACTCTTCTGGCTCTATCAATCTGTTTCTTCACTTCCGCAGGTGGGTATTGTTGTTGTAAGAATGCTTGATAGAGATCTTGTAGGTGTTTGTCTCTGTCTGAGGGGTTGGAGCAAATGCGGTTGTATCGCAGAGCTTGGCTGTAGACGATGGATCGTGTGGTGTGGTCAGGGTGAAAGCTGGAGGCATGCAGGTAGGAATAGCGGTCAGTAGGTTTCCGGTATAGGGTGGTGTTTATGTGACCATCGTTTATTAGCACTGTAGTGTCCAGGAAGTGGATCTCTTGTGTGGACTGGACCAGGCTGAGGTTGATGGTGGGATGGAAATTGTTGAAATCATGCTGGAATTCCTCAAGGGCTTCTTTTCCATGGGTCCAGATGATGAAGATGTCATCAAGAGAAGCAAAGTGTGTGTTGTAAAAGGCTTGTCTAGTTTTAGTAAAGTATGCATCCGATGAAGTGAGCTGTAGCTCACGAAAGCTTATGCTCAAATAAATTGGTTAGTCTCTAAGGTGCCACAAGTCCTCCTTTTCTTTTTGCGAATACAGACTAACACGGCTGTCACTCTGAAACCTATTCTATTCTAGTTTCTACTCTTCTCTCCTGTCCTTTTCCAGTTTCCTCAATTCTATTCTATGTAGGCCCTTTCTCCACCCTTCTCACCATGGTACCTTAGAGCCTTCCGTTTGTGGCTAACATTTCCCATATGTGGTTTGTTCTCTCTCTCTGTGTCTCTCCTGCTCTCCACAGAGTTATTATCCTCTGTGCAGTGCCATGCTTTGTTTTGGTAGGGTTTTGTTGATATAAAGGCACGGGCTGCTACGTGTTTGTGTTAAGGAAGAGGACAAGGATGGAACATACAAACCAATGAATGTGGTGAAGAATTGCCCCAGCTTTGTTAATTATGTGAATTGTTTGGGGCTTTATTGGGGTTAGAGAGAGAAGGAAAAAGAGAGAATGAGAAGCGGAATAGCCACAGCCATAAGTGCTGGAACTCGGGGTGCTGGGGGTTCAGCAGCACCCCCTGGTTGAACGTGGTTTCCCTCATACTCAGGGTTCACAGTTTGGTTCAGTGGCTCTCAGCATCTCCGCTACACAAATTTTTCCAGCATCCCTGGCCACAGCCTGTCTCTGCTCGGCCGTGATCAGCAGGCTCGGCTCTGTGGATAACATGCCAGAGGGATTTTTAAGGTGAGATTTAAAGGACAATAACAGAGACCCTGTTTTGGTTTTGCTAGGGACTTTTTGCCATGCAGAAGAGGCAGAGCTGAAGGGGAGATGCTGGCGGGTTGGGTTTATGACAGGTGGAGAGTGGGAGATAAATCATAGAGATACACAACAGACAGGCAGGCAGGTATTGCACGGAGAAGGATGGATACACGGCTGGATCGATTTCTCTCTAAAGAAAATATTTGGCTGACGTCATCTCCCTCTGTGAGAGACAGAGACTGACAGATTCAGAGACAGGCAGAGACTGAGGGAACTTTACCAAAGTAGGAGTCTTACACTGGCTGCATTGGGAAAGGCCGATCCAGCTGCCTGGAATTCTTCCTTTCTGTCCCCGGCCGTGATTCCTGTGTAGCACCATCCAGCTTTCTTATCCCAAACGGCCCATCGCCCAGGAGAGGTGCACAGCCTGGGCTCTTGGTATCCAACCCGGAAACCTAATCCACTCCGAAGCTAGGCAGGGCTGCCTGCAGCGTATCACCCCACACTGCCACTGAGCCCCACAGCTTCCTCACAGCTTCCAGCTTCCTTATGGCTCTCTGTGGTCGTTAAATCCCCTTCAGGCCCTTCAGGACCAGGGCCCTGAATCCCCACCAGGCTCCCAGACTAAGACCGCAGCAGAGTCGCCAATTAATGGAGATTTTGCATCATTTGAGAGAACGCTCATAGACCCCCGGGACCAAGCCCTCCGCCGGCATCAGTAAGTGTAGCGCCATGGAACTGAAAGGGCCAGATCTCCAGTTCCACCACGGTCTGGATTCTGCTCTCTCTCCCCCTGACCTGACTCCTGGGGAACTCCACTGGATTTCCTGGGGCTGTTTCCCCTCACAGCCACACACCCTGTGTAAATCAGGAGTAACGCCATTGAATTGAAAGGAGCTGTGTAGATTTCTACCAGCTGAGAATCTGACCCAGACATTGTGAGGGAGGGAGGGGACATTCATGCTCATCTAGGCTCTCCTGCGGTGTGACACAAGGCAGAGAATTCCCCCCGGAGGTGTGAAATAGGAGTAACCTGGGCCACAGGTTCAGCTGAAGGCCTCTGAATCCAACAGAGCTTTGTCCTTGGTTTGTATCCCCTGCTGTTCCCCTGCCCCTTCTCTGTGTCTCTGTGCACAGGGATGTATCATAGAATCATAGAATATCAGGCTTGGAAGGGACCTCAGGAGGTCATCTAGTCCAACCCCCTGCTCAAAAGCAGGACCCATCCCCAATTAAATCATCCCAGCCAGGGCTTTGTCAAGCCTGACCTTAAAAACTTCTAAGGAAGGAGATTCCACCACCTCCCTAAGCAACGCATTCCAGTGTTTCACCACCCTCCTAGTGAAAAAGGTTTTCCTAATATCCAACCTAAACCTCCCCCACTGCAACTTGAGACCATTACTCCTTTTCCTGTCCTCTTCCACCACTGAGAATAGTCTAGAACCATCCTCTCTGGGACCACCTCTCAGGTAGTTGAAAGCAACTATCAAATCCCCCCTCATTCTTCTCTTCCGCAGACTAAACAATCCCAGTTCCCTCAGCCTCTCCTCATAAGTCATGTGTTCCAGACCCCTAATCATTTTTGTTGCCCTTCGCTGGACTCTCTCCAATTTATCCACATCCTTCTTGTAGTGTGGGGCACAAAACTGCACACAGTACTCCAGATGAGGCCTCACCAATGTCCAATAGAGTGGGACGATCATGTCCCTCGATCTGCTCGCTATGCCCCTACTTATACATCCCAAAATGCCATTGGCCTTCTTGGCAACAAGGGCACACTGCTGACCCATATCCAGCTTCTCATCCACTGTCACCCCTAGGTCCTTTTCCGCAGAACTGCTGCCTAGCCATTCGGTTCCTAGTCTGTAGCTGTGCATTGGGTTCTTCCATCCTAAGTGCAGGACCCTGCACTTATCCTTATTGAACCTCATCAGATTTCTTTTGGCCCAATCCTCCAATTTGTCTAGGTCCCTCTGTATCCTATCCCTGCCCTCCAGCGTATCTACCACTCCTCCCAGTTTAGTATCATCCACAAATTTGCTGAGAGTGCAATCCACACCATCCTCCAGATCATTTATGAAGATATTGAACAAAACCGGCCCCAGGACCGACCCCTGGGGCACTCCACTTGACACCGGCTGCCAACTAGACATGGAGCCATTGATCACTACCCGTTGAGCCCGACAATCTAGCCAACTTTCTATCCACCTTATAGTGCATTCATCCAGCCCATACTTCTTTAACTTGCTGACAAGAATACTGTGGGAGACCGTGTCAAAAGTTTTGCTAAAGTCAAGGAACAACACGTCCACCGCTTTCCCCTCATCCACAGAGCCAGTAATCTCATCATAGAAGGCAATTAGATTAGTCAGGCATGACTTGCCCTTGGTGAATCCATGCTGACTGTTCCTGATCACTTTCCTCTCCTCTAAGTGCTTCAGAATTGATTCCTTGAGGACCTGCTCCATGATTTTTCCAGGGACTGAGGTGAGGCTGACTGGCCTGTAGTTCCCAGGATCCTCCTTCTTCCCTTTTTTTAAAGATGGGCACTACATTACCCTTTTTCCAGTCATCCGGGACCTCCCCCAATCACCATGAATTTTCAAAGATAATGGCCAATGGCTCTGCAATCACATCCGCCAACTCCTTTAGCACTCTCGGATGCAGCGCATCTGGCCCCATGGACTTGTGCTTGTCCAGCTTTTCTAAATAGTCCCAAACCACTTCTTTCTCCACAGAGGGCTGGTCACCTCCTCCCCATGCTGTGCTGCCCAGTGCAGCAGTCTGGGAGCTGACCTTGTTCGTGAAGACAGAGGCAAAAAAAGCATTGAGTACATTAGCTTTTTCCGCATCCTCTGTCACTAGGTTGCCTCCCTCATTCAGTAAGGGGCCCACACTTTACTTGACTTTCTTCTTGTTGCTAATATACCTGAAGAAACCCTTCTTGTTACTCTTAACATCTCTTGCTAGCTGCAACTCCAGGTGTGATTTGACCTTCCTGATTTCACTCCTGCATGCCTGAGCAATATTTTTATACTCTTCCCTTGTCATTTGTCCAATCTTCTACTTCTTGTAAGCTTCTTTTTTGTGTTTAAGATCAGCAAGGATTTCACTGTTAAGCCAAGCTGGTCGCCTGCCATATTTATTATTCTTTCTACACATAGGGATGGTTTGTCCCTGTAACCAATAAGGATTCTTTAAAATACAGCCAGTTCTCCTGGACTCCTTTCCCCCTCATGTTATTCTCCCAGGGGATCGTGCCCATCAGTTCCCTGAGGGAGTCAAAGTCTGCTTTTCTGAAGTCCAGGGTCCGTATTCTGCTGCTCTCCTTTCTTCCCTGTGTCAGGATCTTGAACTCAACAATCTCATGGTCACTGCCTCCCAGGTTCCCATCCACTTTTGCTTCCCCTACTAATTCTTCCCAGTTTGTGAGCAGCAGGTCAAGAAGAGCTCTGTCCCTAGTTGGTTCCTCCAGCACTTGCACCAGGAAATTGTCCCCTACACTTTCCAAAAACTTCCTGGATTGTCTGTGCACCGCTTTATTGCTCTCCCAGCAGATATCAGGGTGATTGAAGTCTCCCATGAGAACCAGGGCCTGAGATCTAGTAACTTCCGTGAGTTGCCAGAAGAAAGCCTCGTCCACCTCATCCCCCTGGTCCGGTGGTCTATAGCAGACTCCCACCACGACATCACCCTTGTTGCTCACACTTATAAGCTTAATCCAGAGTCTCTCAGGTTTTTCTGCAGTTTCATACTTGAGCTCTGAGCAGTCATACTGCTCCCTTACATACAGTGCAACTCCCTCCACCTCCTCTGCCCTGCCTGTCCTTCCTGAACAGTTTATATCCATCCATGACAGTGCTCCAGTCATGTGAGTAATCCCACCAAGTCTCTGTTATTCCAATCACATCATAATTCCTTGACTGTGCCAGGACTTCCAGTTCTCCCTGCTTCTTTCCCAGGCTTCTTGCATTTGTGTTGGAGAATGGAGATCTCCCCTTCAGATCTGGTCAAAGATGGAGGACTCTGATCCACTTTAATTTGGCAGCTCACCCCTGTAGACAAAGGCAAATGGAGAAGCAACAGATGAGCTTGTTTGGTTCTCATCAGCCCCTCATCTTCCCCAGCGATTGCTCCTTATCACTGTTTCTTCTTCAGCCAAAATAAATCAGAACCTCTTAATATTGTGGGCCTTGGTGTAAATCTTTGTGGCTCCATCAAAGTCAGCAAACCTCTCCTGATAAGCACCAGCTGAGTGCCTGCTCCGTTCTTGTGATATTCAGTCCATCATCTCCTAAAGAATGGAGGGGCTTCTTGGGTCATCAGGGACTAGAACTGCTCTGGGGAACTGAGGCACTGAGAGATCTGGGAGGGGGTTTTCAAAGGAGCCAGGCACTCAACTCATATTGCAGTTTCAATGGGATTTGGGCGCCTGACTCTGTTGGCCTCCTTCCAAAACCCAAGCCTAAATCACTTGCCTAAGGTCACAAATTCTCTGGCAGTGCCAGGAAATAAGCTCACATCTCCTGAGTCCCAGGCTAATGGCTAAAGCACCAGACCTTCCTCATTTCCACATTATTAGATTATTAGAGATCAGATTAGATCTTTACCGGCATTAAACTCTATGAATTATTATTATAGCACCTGGAGACCCAGCCGAGATCAGAGCCCCTTGTGCCAGGCGCTGTAGAGACACAGAATACAAGACAATTTCTGTCCCCCAGAGCTCAATAGACAAAACCTCCACAAACATACAATGGAACTGAACTGAGCTGGGGGGTGAGGCATTGTGACGGATGCTGCAGAGACCCCCAGGAACTGAGATCTGGGCCCTGTTTCGCCGGGCACTGCACAGACACAGTGTGGAAAAGCCCACGCCATGATGAGCTCACAGTCTAGACAGACAAACTCCCCCTAGAACTGAATGGACAGTATAACTGACAAGGATGCCAGCTGCCTTTCCATTGCTGCTCCGGGTTACCCCTCAGCGCACTGAGGCCAGGGGATGGAGCTTTCTCCCTGCCTCCAGGACAGTGATGCAAAATCTGTCTGCAGCCCTCTTTGCTGGAGGAATCACACACGTTATTCTCACACTGTGAGCCCAGACAATCAGGGACAAGCCCCTAGTCTCACTAAAATAGAACCATGCCCTGGCGTAACCCTTTGCCTCTGTTTCAGAGTAGCAGCCGTGTTAGTCTGTCTCCGCAAAAAGAAAAGGAGGACTTGTGGAGTCTTAGAGACTAACAAATTTATTTGCGCATAAGCTGTAGCTCACGAAAGCTTATGCTCAAATAAATTCATTAGCCTTTAAGGTGCCACAAGTCCTCCTTCCCTTTGCCTCTGGTGTCTTAGGGGAAAAGCTGCTCTCTGCTGGGCAAAGAGACAAGAGACTGGTGCAACTTGATTAACCTCAATCTCCTTCCTCTTCGTTAGAAATGCTGCCCCCTCCTGGCCAGAGACACACACATTGAAGTGAATCCCCCTGTGGTTTAAGAGTAACAGCCGTATTAGTCTGGATTCACAAAAAGAAAAGGAGGACTTGTGGCACCTTAGAGACTAACCAATTTATTTGAGCATAAGCTTTTGTGAGCTACAGCTCACTTCATCGGATGCATACTGTGGAAAGTAGAAAGCTTATGCTCAAATAAATTGGTTAGTCTCTAAGGTGCCACAAGTCCTCCTTTTCTTTTTGATTAACCTCAATCTCCTTCCTTCCACATCTGATGAAGTGAGCTGTGGCTCACGAAAGCTTATGCTCAAATAAATTGGTTAGTCTCTAAGGTGCCACAAGTCCTCCTTTTCTTTTTGATTAACCTCAATCTCCTTCCTTCCACATCTGATGAAGTGAGCTGTGGCTCACGAAAGCTCATGCTCAAATAAATTGGTTAGTCTCTAAGGTGCCACAAGTCCTGCTGTTCTTTTTGCGAATACAGACTAACACGGCTGTTCCTCTGAAATACATTGAAGTGAATCCCCCTGTGGTTGTCACTGTTGGTATGTTTTGTGTCTGTGTTAAATAGTTCCCTTTCCCCTGGGTTTAACGCTCTGACTTGCCTCCCCCTGGACAAAGGGGGGATCCCCAGAGCTGGGCTTCATGGGAATGGGCAGAGCCAGTTCTGCACAAACACCCTGCCTCTGTCTCAGCCTTGTGCTGTAGGGCGCAGCCTGTGGCAACCGGAGATCAGCCTCGGTTTAATCCTCAGTGTCTCATGCTCCCCCAAGGAAGGTGGCTATTTTGTGCCCCTGGTGTATCTTGTGTATCTCCATTTCTGTTTCTTATGCCTGGCTGTCTGTCCCTCTCCCTGTCGATGTATCTATAAACCCACCCAACTCTTTTTTCTTTTCCCTTTCTTTTCTCCCTGTTCATTTGTTTTTATATTTTAACTTTTAATTTCCTTCCTCCCGCCAAACCTCCAGGCTCCTTAGGTCAGTGGTTCTCAACCAGGGGTACATGTACCCCGGGGGGTACACAGAGATCTTCCAGGGGGTGCATCAACTCATCTAGAGATTTGCTTAGTTTTACAACAGGCTACAGAAAAAGCGCTGGCGAAGTCAGTACAAACTAACATTTCATACAGACAATGACTGGTTTATACTGCTCTATATACTATGCACTGAAATGTAAGTAGAGTCGTTATATTTCAGTTGATTTATTTTATAATTATTTGGTACACAGGAGAAAGTCAACAATTGTTCAGTAACAGTGTGGCCAGGGCACGTCTGTATTTTTAGGTCTGATTTTGTAAACAAGTAATTTTTAAGTGAGGTGAAACTTGGGGGTACACAAGACAAACCAGACCCTTGGAAAGGGCACAGTAGTCTGGAAAGGTCTTTCCCTAGGAGGAATTCCCCAAGTGCATTCCCTCCTCAGCCTCTTTGTCTCAGCTCCCGACCCATGCGACGGGGATCCTTGCACAGCCCTGCCTCACCTGGGGGTGGGGGGCTGACCGTGTTAAGGAAGGTGACGCACGCTCAGAGATGCACTGTGTAAGAAGTAGGTGGTGGTGTTGTACCGCCTGCCAGCCTGACAGCTACCCTCCAGCTGGGGAGTTTTTGCACAGGCTGCCAGTGCTCCTGTGTCACTGTGTCTCCACGGCGCAGAAGTAGGTGGCTGCATCTCCCAGCTGTGATTCTCTGATGTGCAGGGAGCTCAGCTGCTTCCCCTTGTCGAGCTCCGCCGTGAGGTTGGGCTCCTTGGTTTGTTTCCCATCGGACACCAGAATCAGCAGGGAGACAGGCTGGCCTCCGGGAAGCTGCCTGAACCACCGCAAACTCCTGAAATCGCTCGTCGTGTAGTGGCAGGTGATGCTGCTGTTCTGCCCTTCCCGAGTGACCGCAGACAGGTTCTGGTGCACCTCGGCCTGGCAGCTCCCCCCTGCGGGCAGAAGGCAAAAGACACACCCCATAGATGACAGGGCACTTCTGCCCAGTTCACACACTGGCCGGATGCAAAGCCCGGTGGAGTTTCTCTTCATTTCCAGGGGCTTGCATCTGGCCCACGACTGCTGTTTTCCTTAGATTACTGCTGTCAGTGAGATTCCCAAAGGCACAGTAAGAGACATCCCTTGCCCCAAAGAGCTTACAGATTAAATAGTCAAGCAAAGGGTGGGAGGGGAAACTGAGGCACAGAAAAGGGAAGGAACTCCAGCAGGCCAGAGCTGGGAACTGAACCCAGGAGTCCTGTATCCCCATCCACTCCAGTACAGAGAATGGTGCATGGCTAGCAAAGCAAAGGGAGAGTCAGAGAATTAGTCTTTGTCTCTTAAATCCACCATCACGTTCAGCATCTTCTGTAGCGTTTCCTGTCCCTGAACTTACAGGGAATGTTCACCAGCAGTAGCAGCAACTGTGGGAACGGCAGCCAGGATCTCTTCATTGTCCCTCAGCAAAGAAGCCATATAGCCGGGTGTTCCCCGTTCAGTACAAAAGGTTCTGTCCCCTCACAGGTAGATTTAATTTTCCCCCTGGGACAAATTTACCAGCTCCTCCTCCTCAGGGCCGGTGCAAGGATGTTTCGCGCCCTAGGCAAAACTTCCACCGTGCGCCCGTCCCCCCAGGAGCCCTGTGGCAGCTCCCCGCCCCCCCACCCCCAGCCCGAGGAGCTGTGTGTAGCAGCTCCCTGCCCCCCTCCCTTCCTCCCTCCCCTCAGCCCGGGAAGCCATGTGGCAGCTCCCTGCCCCCCCCCCACCCCATCGGCCTGAGGAGCCATGCGGCAGCTCCCCACCCCAGCTCACCTCTGCTCTGCCTCCTCCCCGGAGCGCGCTTTTGGCCACTCCCAACCACTTGGCGCCCTAGGCGGCTGCCTAGTTTGCCTAGTGGTTGCACCGGCCCTGCTCCTCCTGAACGAGGAGCCTCTTCGGTACCCACAGGCTGCAGCTACGGGGTAGCCTAAGACAGCCAGGAAATGAGTCCCAGGGAGTCACTTCGCAGAACTGCTTTGAGCAAGTGGGTGCCCTGAGTGGGCAGAGCCTGGCTTCTAGACACAGACGGGTTGTGGGGAAGAGCCAGGGCTGTGGGTGAAGAGCTTGAGTGATGGGCGGAATTTGGGCTGTGCATGGAATTTGGAGAGGGCACGGGCCTTGGATGGGCTCGGGCTGTCGGCCTGGCTTAAATTGTGCTAGACTCTGGCTCACAATCTGAAGGTTATCTGCCCTCACCCTCCTCAGATTTGCCCCTTGATAACAGAAACACTATTTGCTCTAAATTCAGAGGGACATGGGTACAAGAAACATCCTGCTCACATCTCACTCATTGTGCCCATCGGACTTCTCCATTCCCTACAGCAGTTTTCCGCCAGCAGAGATTCCAAAGGGGACTAAGGGAGTTGGGTGCTCAGCTCTTTTATGCCTCTTTGCAATGTGCATCCCTGCTGGGCCTGAATGACCCACAGGGCTACAGACAGACGCGGCCACATTGCTTATTCTATTGGTGCCACAAACTGCTGAAGAGGATGAGCCTTCTCCCTCCCCTGAAATGTAACCCTCGTGAAAGTATGGTCATGACGTGGGCGACAGGGGATGGGTCACTGGATGATTCCCGGTTCTGTTCACTCCCTCTGGGGCACCTGGCAATGGCCACTGTCAGGAGACAGGATACTGGGCAGAATGGACCTTTGGTCTGACCCAGTCTGGGCGTTCTAATGTTCTTAAGTAGATTTCACGTGTCTAGAGGAATAATCCGCCAGTATAAGTGTTACAGGCTACTTACACACAAGGAAGTGATGTTTCCTGCTGCATCGGGCATGACGGCGATTTCTTCAAAACGATCTTATATTAGAATATGGAGAAAGGAAAAATGTCTCTTCTCATTCTCTGCAGTCTTAATGCTTCATTATCGAGCTCCCTCGCTTTCCTGATCCACTAGGGCTAGATTTCCTGTTGCACATCTGTCTATGCAGCCATTTAGCCACCCTGCCCACTGCTTTGTCCATCCCTCCCTCTTGCTGCAATATCACCCGTCTCTGTGGCATGTGAGGGGGGATAGTAAAATCATTTCCCACATAGACCCTGAGGGGTCTACAAATCTTTGCACACACACACCCCCTCTCCTCCCTGGCAGCTGCCGTGGATTTTGTAGTCGTGCAAGTACACAGCTGAGGGCCCAGGCTGGGGAAGCTGAGAGAACAATTGTGGTGTCCAAGGCCATGGTGAGGGAATCTCCCTGTTCAGAGCCACCCATGATCCTTAATATCATGAACTGCACGGAGCTGCCTGGGAACTGCCGGTAGCAATGGATGCTCTGCTCTCTCCCTGGTAACTGGAGCTGTAAGTATTCTCCCTTACCGAATGACAGCGTATGGGCCTTGGGCCCTGTGGGGAAAACAGGGCGAGGGAGGCCAAAGGAGGTGATGCCCAGGGAGGCGGGGGCGGGTGTTTGGCTGGAAGTCCCCTTACAGTGGAGGGCTAGAGATGAGCCACCAGGAGACAGACGGAGTTTTACAAACTGCACGTGGTTCTGTTGTGCAGAGAAGAGGAAAGGCTGACCACAAAGAGATAGAATTGGCATAAATGCAGTTCTTTGTTTATAAAATACCAAGTGATGCCAAACTCTTAAATCCTGCATGAGTGTGAGGCGGGAAGTGTGTGTGTGTGAGAGAGAGAGTAACAAAGACTGAGTACAAAAGGGTGTAATACCTGGCAGCAGAAGGAAGTTCATGGGTGCTGTGGGGTCTGCCAGATCCTGCAATGAAAGGCACGACTGGGTCCTTTTGCCTAGAGATCTAAGTCTGACACAGGAAATTCTCTGGGTGTGGGCTGCATTCTGGGGGCCAGTCTGTTTATCTAGGAGTGTGCCGTGTTGTTGTAGCTGTGTGGGTCCCACTCTATTGGAGAGACAAGGTGGTGAGGTCATATCTTTTATTGGACCAACTTCTGTTGGTGGGAGAGACCGGCTTCCCAGCGGAGGAAGAGCTCTGTGTAGCTGGAAAACTCGTCTTCCCAACAGAAGTTGGTCCAATAAAGGATGTTATCTAGGAGTGTGCATGGATCTGTCTCTGAGATGAAATGTGTGCGTGTGTCATGGTGTATATGTGGAGAGATCTATATTTCTGAGTGTGTATGAAGGGGTAGGTATGTCAGAGAATGCCTCTGTGTGTGTGATTTCAGTGTGAGGGTTTCTGTCTGTGTGTTAGAATCTGCCTATGTGTGTGAGTCTAGGTGAGATATTTTGTGTGTGTGAGTGAGAGAGAGAGAGAGAGAGGTGAATGTGTATGTCTGTGCAAATGTGTCTGTGTATATGTATGTCAGGTTGCGTGTCAGTGTGTCATTGTGTATGTGAGAATGTCTGTGTGCATGTTACCAGTCTGAAAGTGTTTGACCTGAATAAGAGGGAAAATCACATGGGAATTACTGAGTTACCGGATTGTCTTCCCAGGGAATGCTTCCCCATTGACTAGAATTGCAGGGCTAGGAAGCTATTTTTGATATAAAACCACCCGATCCAGGCAATTGCGGAAGACGAAAAGGTTTATAATTTTCCAGAAAGAAAAGGAGGATTTGTGGCACCTTAGAGACTAACCAATTTATTTGAGCATAAGCTTTCGTGAGCTACAGCTCACTTCATGGGATGCATTCAGTGGGGAGATTTATATACAGAATCACAGAATATCAGAGTTGGAAGGGACCTCAGGAGGTCATCTAGTCCAACCCCCTGCTCAAAGCAGGACCAATCCCCAATTTTTGCCTCAGATCCCTAAATGGCCCCCTCAAGGATTGAACTCATTATTTTCTTTGTTGGGCCTGTCCTGTAGTAGGTGACTTCTGGGTACTCTTCTGGCTCTGTCAATCTGTTTCTCCACTTCAGCAGGTGGGTACTGTAGTTGTAAGAATGCTTGATAGAAATAACAGAACGCCACTAGCCGTCACCTTCAGCCCCCAACTAAAACCTCTCCAACGCATCATCAAGGATCTACAACCTATCCTGAAGGACGACCCATCACTCTCACAGATCTCGGGAGACAGGCCAGTCCTTGCTTACAGACAGCTCCCCAACCTGAAGCAAATACTCACCAGCAACCACATACCACACAACAGAACCACTAACCCAGGAACCTATCCTTGCAACAAAGCCCGTTGCCAACTGTGTCCACATATCTATTCAGGGGCCACCATCACAGGGCCTAATCACATCAGCCACACTATCAGAGGCTCATTCACCTGCACATCTACCAATGTGATATATGCCATCCTGTGCCAGCAATGCCCCTCTGCCATGTACATTGGCCAAACTGGACAGTCTCTACGTAAAAAAATAAATGGACACAAATCAGACGTCAAGAATTATAACATTCATAAACCGGTCAGAGAACACTTCAATCTCTCTGGTCACTCCATTACAGACCTAAAAGTGGCAATACTTTAACAAAAAAACTTCAGAAACAGACTCCAATGAGAGACTGCTGAACTGGAATTAATTTGCAAACTGGATATAATTAATTTAGGCTTGAATAGAGACTGGGAGTGGATGGGTCATTACACAAAGTAAAACGATTTCCCCATGTTTATTTCCCCATCCCCACCCCCCACTGTTCCTCAGACATTCTTGTCAACTGCTGGAAATGGCCCACCTTGATTATCATTACAAAAGGTTCCCCCCTCACACCCAGCTCTCCTGCTGGTAATAGGTCACCTTACCTGATCACTCTTGTTACAGTGTGTATGGTAACACCCATTGTTTCATGTTCTCTGTGTATATAAATCTCCCCACTGGATTTTCCACTGCATGCATCCGATGAAGTGAGCTGTAGCTCACAAAAGCTTATGCTCAAATAAATTGGTTAGTCTCTAAGGTGCCACAAGTACTCCTTTTCTTTTTGCAAATACAGACTAACACGGCTGCTACTCTGAAACCTGTAATTTTCCAGGTGTTTTTTCAAGGTTCCTCCTTAAATTACTGACCCCTCTTCTCCTGCCTTTATTCTATTCACATTTCTTTTATTCTAGTCCATTCCAATGAATTCTTTTCTGTTCCATTCTGTTCTTATTACCTCTAGCCTACTCTGTTCTACTTTCCTTTCTTCTCTTCTGTGCTCATATCCTTCCATTCCATTCTAATGTCTTCTTGTCTGCTCTCTTCGGTCCTTGTGGCCTGCCGCACCCAGGGTTTCATGACGGGCTGCCTGTGCTCACCTAGCACGGTGCTCCATGGCACACAGATACACAGCAGAGTCTTCCAGGCAGCTGCTGTTCAGGTACAAGAAGCTGCTTTTGGTTTTGGTGTCCAGGCTCATGGTGAAATTCTCTCTAGTGTCTCTGCCGCTAGAGGACAGGGAGGCCATGAACCGCAGCTGGCCTCCCTGGGGCTGGCGGTACCAATGCACGCTGTACTCGGTGCCCGTGTAGGAGCAGTTGAGCTGGATGGGTTCTCCTTCATGGGCAGGGGCCTGGGACCGGTCCTGGGTCACCGTGTATTGGGCCAAAGTACCTGGGGGGAGGAGGTTGGTTTTAGTTCAGGTTTTCTTGCTCAGCAATGACAGAAAAATACATGCACCTCTGTGTAGACAAGGGAGAAAACAAGCAAACGGAAATACACCCTTCCCTCTGTACCGTCTGTCCATCCATCCATCCACCTTCCTTTTGCGCTGTCTGCCTGTCCATCCATCCACCCTTCCCTCTTTGCTGTCTTTTCATTTGTCTCTCTATCACTCTGCACCATCTGTCCATCCTTCCCTCTGTGCTGTCTGTCTGTCCATCCATTCACCCTTCCCTCTGCTCTGCCCATCCTTCCCTCTGCACTGTCGGTCTGTCTACCCACGGGCTCCCATCCCCGGGGTATCGGAGTGCCTTTCTTTCAGAAAAGCCTGGAAATCCCAACCCGTGGCGCCGTGCTCAGAGCAGAGCCTTGAATACCTGGAGCCAGCACCAGCAGCAAAGCGGGCAGGCTCATTGTCAGGGACCCAGCTGCACAGTGAAGTGGCTGGACGAGGTGAAGCTCTGACACCGCTCAGCCTCCAGGGGTGGCCTTCAGGCTGGAAGGAAATCGGTACATTTACCCTGCTCAAGTGGGTGGGGGAGGGAAAGGGTTTTGCTTCTGAGTGCCCTGGGCCTGATCCTCCACTGGTGCAGATTAACTGGGTTCCATCAGAGTCACTGGGCTGGTTCCCCAGCTGGAGCAAACTGGCCATAGCTCCGCTGGAGACCATGGGCAGATCCAGGGCTGATGTAAATCACTGGAGCTGCATTTAAATCCGGGGCAGCTGGTCCCATTTCTGACAGTTAAGGCTCTGTCCCTATAATTCATGGATTTCCGTCTCTGTTGTGCTCTCCTGGGTTAAGCAATACTTATGTAGCGTGCACACACCAACATCAAGGAAGCAAAAATAAGATGGTTATAAGCCTCTGGCCAAAGGGGGAACAAGGCAAGGCATCAGCCTGTCTCCCTAGCAGGCAAAGAAATGTATCAGGATTTTTTTTTAAATGGTGAGGGGTAGCAAATGCAAAGGGAATTTCAGTCAAATGCAGATTGATGTAGCCGTAAGTGGTTGGAGTGGAACAGCCACTAAGTGGCAGCAGAGGGTAAGAAATATGAAGAGGGCTGGTGTTACCTTAAGGTGTATTCTGAGAATGGGTTAGAGGATCCATTGGGCCTGGCGTCCCATCTCCAAAACAGGCTAGTGCCGCACTGTGATAAAGGCTGCCAGCCTCTAAGAAATTACATGGGAAGCAGGGGAAGGCAGACAAGGGGTGGGAGGGAAAACAGATGTGCAGAGAGCGGAAAGGACTTGCCCAAGTTCATATAGCAGAGTCAAGATGACTTAGACTGTAAGTTCTTTAGGGAAGGGTCTGGGCTGTCTGTCTGTGCATCTACACGCCCTCGGTACTACTGCCAATAATAATAAAACCGTCCTATTGTCAGTGCTAATGCTCAGTCCACCAGGCCAAGTTGCTTTCCTATGTACTTGCAGAGAAAGGCAGAACAAGAAACCACAGTTGGACGGCACAACCAGACAAATGCAAGTAGGCTCAGCAGAATTCAGTTTTTATTTTTTTATAATTTTGATGAACCACATCCATGGGGTATTTTTAAGCATTTTAAAAATTATTTTTATCTAGTTGTACAAAATTAGCCGGGGTGAGGAGTGGGGGGGCAACATCGAATATGACAATATACAAAGTAAGTATCCTTAAATTAAACTATAAAAAATTCTCAAGCAGAATTGTACCTATCTTTACCTATCTGTAAATTTCAGTTTTTACAGATGGAAATATTTTTTCATCAGTTTGTGTGCACAGGGAAATCGATGTTGACCAACATTTGCCAATAAAAATCTGATTCCTCCACGCCTAGAAAATAAGACATACTTTTTTTTAACAGTGAGGGTGATTATCTATTGGACTCAACAGTCGAGGGAAGTGGAGGATTTTCCATCCCTTGAAGTCTTTGGACCCAGACTGGAGGCTTTTCAGGAAGATGATGATTTATTGAGATTAATACAGGGGCTACTCAGAGAAATTCTCCAGCCTGTGATATGCAAGAGATCAGACCAGAGGATCTAACGGTCCTTTCTGGCCTTAAACTCTCTGTTTCGGAAGGTGTCAGTCCCCATAATTCATTGTATAAAACTAGCCTGGAGTGAAATAATTTCATCCGGGGACTCAGTTTTGTCTAAAGCAGATGGAATGCACTATAAGGTGGGTAGAAAGCTGGCTAGATTGTCGGGCTCAACGGGTAGTGATCAATGGCTCCATGTCTAGTTGGCAGCCGGTATCAAGTGGAGTGCCCCAAGGGTCGGTCCTGGGGCCGGTTTTGTTCAATATCTTCATAAATGATCTGGAGGATGGTGTGGATTGCACTCTCAGCAAATTTGTGGATGATACTAAACTGGGAGGAGTGGTAGATACGCTGGAGGGGAGGGATAGGATACAGAAGGACCTAGACAAATTAGAGGATTGGGCCAAAAGAAATCTGATGAGGTTCAATAAGGATAAGTGCAGGGTCCTGCACTTAGGACAGAAGAACCCAATGCACAGCTACAGACTAGGGACCGAATGGCTAGGCAGCAGTTCTGCGGAAAAGGACCTAGGGGTGACAGTGGACGAGAAGCTGGATATGAGTCAGCAGTGTGCCCTTGTTGCCAAGAAGGCCAATGGCATTTTGGGATGTATAAGTAGGGGCATAGCGAGCAGATCGAGGGACGTGATCGTTCCCCTCTATTCGACATTGGTGAGGCCTCATCTGGAGTACTGTGTCCAGTTTTGGGCCCCACACTACAAGAAGGATGTGGATAAATTGGAGAGAGTCCAGCGAAGGGCAACAAAAATGATTAGGGGTCTGGAACACATGAGTTATGAGAGAGGCTGAGGGAGCTGGGATTGTTTAGCCTGCAGAAGAGAAGAATGAGGGGGGATTTGATAGATGCTTTCAACTACCTGAAAGGGGGTTCCAAAGAGGATGGCTCTAGACTGTTCTCAATGGTAGCAGATGACAGAACGAGGAGTAATGGTCTCAAGTTGCAGTGGGGGAGGTTTAGATTGGATATTAGGAAAAACTTTTTCACTATGAGGGTGGTGAAACACTGGAATGCGTTACCTAGGGAGGTGGTAGAATCTCCTTCCTTAGAGGTTTTTAAGGTCAGGCTTGACAAAGCCCTGGCTGGGATGATTTAACTGGGAATTGGTCCTGCTTCGAGCAGGGGGTTGGACTAGATGACCTTCTGGGGTCCCTTCCAACCCTGATATTCTATGATTCTATGAATGCTAATAGCAGCCTTGTGGTTAAAACAAATAGGCCAGAGCCTGGGAGATCTAAGATGTGAGCCTCCTGCTTTCCCGAGGGGCAGGCTCACTCCTATCAGCAGTATCCTTGTTCTCATTTAGTGTCACCTAGATCAGCGTTCAGCAACCCCGTCCCAAGCAGAGCATTTACTCCCAAAAAGGAGAAGGACCAGAAACTCCATAAAGTCCACCCAGGACTCTGGCCCAGATCCTCCAGGATATTTAGGCACTTGACTCCCATTGATCTCAGCCAGGACTTGGGCTTTTATTACTGATGTTGATGTTATATGGGAGGTTTCAGAGTAACAGCCGTGTTAGTCTGTATTCGCAAAAAGAAAAGGAGGACTTGTGGCACCTTAGAGACTAACACATTTATTTGAGCATGACCTTTCGTGAGCTACAGCTCACTTCATCGGATGCATACCGTGGAAACTGCAGAAGACATTATATACACACAGAGACCATGAAACAATACCTCCTCACACCCCACTGTCCTGCTGGTAATAGCTTATCTAAATTGATCATCAAGTTGGGGAGTTGGATCATCAATATGGGAGTTGCTCAGAGAGCATGAGGATAAGTGTGAGGATAGCGAGAGATGTCAAGAGTAACAAGAAGGGTTTCTTCAGGTATGTTGGCAACAAGAAGAAAGCCAAGGAAAGTGTGGGCCCCTTAATGAATGAGGGAGGCAACCTAGTGACAGAGGATGTGGAAAAAGCTAATGTACTCAATGCTTTTTTTGCCTCTGTCTTCACGAACAAGGTCAGCTCCCAGACTGCTGCGCTGGGCATCACAACAGGGGGAATAGATGGCCAGCCCTCTGTGGAGAAAGAGGTGGTTAGGGACTATTTAGAAAAGCTGGACGGGCACAAGTCCATGGGGCCGGACAAGTTGCATCCGAGAGCGCTAAAGGAATTGGCGGCTGTGATTGCAGAGCCATTGGCCATTATCTTTGAAAACTCGTGGCGAACAGGGGAAGTTCCAGATGACTGGAAAAAGGCTAATGTAGTGCTAATCTTTTAAAAAGGGAAGAAGGAGGATCCTGGGAACTACAGGCCAGTCAGCCTCACCTCAGTCCCCGGAAAAATCATGGAGCAGGTCCTCAAAGAATCAATCCTGAAGCACTTACATGAGAGGAAAGTGATCAGGAACAGTCAGCATGGATTCATCAAGGGAAGGTCATGCCTGATTAATCTAATTGCCTTCTATGATGAGATTACTGGTTCTGTGGATGAAGGGAAAGCAGTGGATGTATTGTATCTTGACTTTAGCAAAGCTTTTGACACGGTCTCCCACAGTATTCTTGTCAGCAAGTTAAAGAAGTATGGGCTGGATGAATGCACTATAAGGTGGGTAGAAAGCTGGCTAGATTGTCGGGCTCAACGGGTAGTGATCAATGGCTCCATGTTTAGTTGGCAGCCGGTGTCAAGTGAAGTGCCCCAGGGGTCGGTCCTGGGGCCGGTTTTGTTCAATATCTTCATAAATGATTTGGAGGATGGTGTGGATTGCACTCTCAGCAAATTTGCGGATGATACTAAACTGGGAGGAGTGGTAGATACACTGGAGGGCAGGGATAGGATACAGAGAGACCTAGACAAATTGGAGGATTGGGCCAAAACAAATCTGATGAGGTTCAATAAGGATAAGTGCAGGGTCCTGCACTTAGGACGGAAGAACCCAATGCACAGCTACAGACTAGGGACCGAATGGCTAGGCAGCAGTTCTGCGGAAAAGGACCTAGGGGTGACAGTGGACGAGAAGCTGGATATGAGTCAGCAGTGTGCCCTTGTTGCCAAGAAGGCCAATGGCATTTTGGGATGTATAAGTAGGGGCATAGCGAGCAGATCGAGGGACGTGATCGTCCCCCTCTATTGGACATTGGTGAGGCCTCATCTGGAGTACTGTGTCCAGTTTTGGGCCCCACACTACAAGAAGGATGTGGATAAATTGGAGAGAGTCCAGCGAAGGGCAACAAAAATGATTAGGGGTCTGGAACACATGACTTATGAGGAGAGGTTGAGGGAACTGGGATTGTTTAGTCTGCAGAAGAGAAGAATGAGGGGGGATTTGATAGCTGCTTTCAACTACCTGAGAGGTGGTTCCAGAGAGGATGGTTCTAGACTATTCTCAGTGGTGGAAGAGGACAGGACAAGGAGTAATGGTCTCAAGTTG